AAGACATACCAGTACTGTTTCTACGCCTGGTATTATAGGTCGCTCAAGTGACGACCGCCGGAGTTTCTCAAGCATTCCATTAAATATTCCTATTCATTTGTGGTGGTATGCGGGAATCTACAGGTTCACAGCAGATAGCATAGCTGTGATGTCATCTCATGAGTGGGAACAACAGTAATAGCCGCCGTTCTGGCGAGTTCAAAAACCGGGAACACCTGTAGGCGGGCACAAGGGCTACCCTGAAACAAAAGCCGAATGTTCAAAGCGTGGGTATATCCACTTCACTTAAAACTGTAATTAGGATCCTCCTCTCACACATTGCACTACTTAAACACAGACATAAGATTCTCTGATCACTGCACATGTCGTGGGTATCCGTCACACGAGAATACGAAGGTCAAGTCAAACCCAAAGGCATTTTACCGCTATGCAAAGTCGAAATTGAAAATGCAAGTAGGAGTATCAGACCTGAGGCTGGTGGATGGTAGTTACGCAGATTCTGACCAGGATAAAGCTGAGGCATTGAACAGCTTCTTTTCCTCAGTGTTCACAAGAGAGGATGCAACTAACCTTCCTGCGTTTGAGGACAGACGGTTCGACACAGCACTGACCCACATTGTGTTCACAGAAGAGGGTATTAGAAATAAACTGTCCAGGCTTAAGGTCCATAAGAGTCCCGGACCTGACATGGTGCATCCTAGAGTCCTAAGAGAGTTGTGCAACGAGCTTGCAGAGCCCCTGAAGATCCTGTTTTGTAAATGCCTGGATGAACAAATGGCCCCCAGTGAATGGAAAGTGACTTATTTGAGTCCTATCTTCAAGAAGGGCGATCGTCACTCCACGAACAACTATAGACCGGTGAGCCTGACCAGCATAATATGTAAAGTACTTGAGAGTATTATCAGAGATGCTGCAATGGAACATCTAATACGAAACAACCTTGTAAAAGATTGCCAACACGGTTTTATGCCGGGGCGCTCCTGCTTAACACAATTGCTCAAGGTATTGGATATTTGGACCCATATTCTGGAACGGGGTGGTAATATCGACAATATTTACCTAGATTTTGCCAAGGCTTTCGACAGCGTACCCCACGAAAGGCTGAAAATCAAACTGGAAAGGTACGGAATTCGGGGAAATGTCCTAGCGTGGATAGAAGACTTTCTCCATGACCGCAAGCAGTGTGTGGTGATTAATGGTACGAAATCGTCATCTGTATCTGTCACAAGTGGGGTACCACAGGGCAGTGTATTGGGCCCGCTGTTGTTTGTTTGTTTCATAAATGACATGCCTGACATTGTACACTCCTCCATACAAATGTTTGCCGATGACGCCAAGTTATTTCGGGAAATTAAGAACCAAGCAGACTGTGAAGAGCTGCAGAAGGACCTCTGTGGGCTCCAGGAATGGTCGAAGAAATGGCCGCTGAGATTCAATGTCACGAAGTGTAAGAGGATGCACCTGGGGCGTACCAACGGTAAGGAGGCGTATCATATGTCCCAACGGGATGAAGAAACTGCACTAGTTGAAACTGTGTGTGAGAAGGACCTAGGTGTATATGTTGACAATGAGCTGAAGTTCTCGGGCCATTGTGAGAAGAAGGTAAATCAGGCGAATAAATTATTGGGTCTTATAAGAAGGTCGTTCAGATACCTAGACGGTCCGTCCCTCGTAACGATCTTCAGGAGTGAAGTGCTTCCCCATCTGAAGTACTGTCACCCCATCTGGTCGCCGAGATATGCTAGGGACTGTCAGTTGGTTGAAAATGTTCAAAGGAGGGCCACCAGCCTGGTGCCTGCACTTATGCACCTCAGCTACCCTGAGAGATTGGAGCGCCTGAACTTGCCTAGCTTATACTACAGACGGGCAAGGGGGGACCTAGTTGAGGTGTATAAGCATCTCAGGGGGCACTACTCAGTGGAGTGTCCTTACTTGCAGCTGGCGGACGCTCGCCCCACAAGGGGTCACAGCTCAAGATTGAAGAAGCCGCAAGTCCAGAAAACTGTGAGGGCAAACTTTTTCGGAGTGAGGGTTGTAAACTCTTGGAACAATCTACCAGCGAGTGTTGTGACGGCACCGAGTGTGAGCTCTTTCAAGACAAGACTTGACCAACACTGGAGCGGGTTCAGGTACATTCAGGAGCCAGTGCATGCCCAGTATTTGCCAACAGTGCGTGACAGAGACGTGATCGATCGCCCAGGCGGCTAGCGAGCCGATCTTTTGGTGAAGAAGATAAATGAAAAGGAAAAGTAATCAGAAACGTGACCGATCGCCCAAGCAGCTAACAAGCCGATCAGTGGCGAAGAGGATAAAAGAAAAAAAAAAGTACATGCCCACAGTGCCAGCAGTATGTAACAGAGAGCCAGTATGTGCCCACAGTGCCAGCAGTATGTAACAGAGAGCCAGTACATGCCCACAGTGCCAGCAGTATGTAACAGAGAGCCAGTACATGCCCACAGTGCCAGCAGTATGTAACAGAGTGCCAGTACATGCCCACAGTGCCAGCAGTATGTAACAGAGAGCCAGTACATGCCCACAGTGCCAGCAGTATGTAACAGAGAACCAGTACATGACCAGTGCCTAACAGAGAGGTGACAGGCCTCCCAAGCAGCTAACAGGCCGGTTAGTGGCGAAGAGGATAAAGAAAAATATTTCCAATACAGCATAATAATAAAAAGGCAAAGAAATCCCCTATAAATGTTACGTTTTCTCTTATTTTAGGATCAAAGAAAACGAATGTACATAAACATTTAGAAAGAATGAGAATATTGGTCAAACTTAATCTTTTTTTTTTCATTTCTTTTATACTCCTCACCATTGATCAGCTCGTTAGCCGCTTGGGCGATTGGTCACCTCTATGTTACGCACTGTTGGCAAGTACTGGGCATGCACTGGCTCCTGAATGTACCTGAACCTGCTCCAGTGTTGGTCAAGTCTGGTCTTGAAAGAGCTCACACTCGGTGCCGTCACAACACTTTCTGGTAAACTGTTCCAAGAGTTCACAACTCTCACTCCGAAAATTTTGCCCTCACAGTTTTCTGGACCTGCGGTTTCTTCAATCTTGAGATGTGACCCCTTGCGGGGCGAGCGTCCGCCAGCTCCAAGTAAAGACATTCGTCTGTGGTTGCCAACCCTCAGACATAATGGTTCTTTGATTATATTCCTCCAGAGTTTGTTTGTCTGAATGTTTCTCTTTGTCAGAAACACAAAATGATGAGATCAATCTGTTTGTTGATGAATAATTGCTATAAAACATAAAATTACACATTTAGTAAAAATATTACATTAAAGCCATATTACTACATCTTGGTTTTCTCCCATAAATACTCGTACATATCATTTGGGAAATGGCAACTGTTCCCTTCTGATCTCAAACAATCAAACCTTTCCTACTGTATACCACATACATCCTTAATCATCCATCATTAAAGTACTGTACTAAAGAGCACTTGACCATTGATTTTATTACAAATATTAGGCCTTAGTATTATTTCAGCACTGTAATACAAA